CATCCACAGAAAAACCATACAAAAAAATCGCTAATTAGATTCGATAGCATACCACAATGTCATGGTACAAAGTTATCTGTAATCATGAAATTAGTCACCTGAAATCTGCCGGACAACTCATCAGGAAACCCAACTTTTTCTGGGTTTAAATTTTCTCCCAATCCGAAACGGATTCATCTAAAACACAAAGTCGAACGGGCTAATCCCTTCACTGGACTGTGACTTAACAGAGGTTCATAATCTCTCCAACAGTGCATCAGTAGTGCTACTTGTTTCATAGGTTCTGAACTGGAAAATCCCCAAATGGGCAAATCCAAATTTTATCATTAAAACCAAAATTATAGTAAGAAAATAATAATTATAACAGCTTGTACAAAGATGAGTTTTTGAAATTTACCTGCCTTAACTTGTGCACACTTTACATGCAGAGACCCTTATGTTTTTTTGGTGGTTTAAAAGCTTGCAAATCACAGGAGGTTGTCCATTCTGTTTTGAACTCCAAACAACAGATAATGGGATGAGAACCCTAGGAAAAAAAGTCAATTATTAAATACTTGACAATATGTAATCTACAATCAACCAAAACAAACACATAGAGGTTACATTTCGAAACTATTATGCAAAAACCAACCCTAATAATGATTCAGAAAACCTTAGTTAACTATCTTTTATGATTGAAACTACACTATAAAATGTTAAATCCTTATGTAGACATGCAATCCAAAACGAAGACAAATTTGAAAGATGTGAGCCTTACCTGACAACGGATTAAACAGAAGGCACAGAAATAAGATATGCAATTGGAGTTGTACTGTAGCAGCCACTGCTTTCTAAATTCAAAGCTGGGAATAAGAAAATAGAATACATTCCATCCAACAAAAGATTAAATGAAAAGGAAAAAAATTATATACCTTGATGATAAGGAGCTTGCAAAGCCGCAGAGAAAAATTGGAAATTCGAGCAACAACTCTTGCTGCACCTAAAAATCAAAGCAGATCAGAAAAGTACACCCAAAGCTCGAAAAAATTTAAATCACACACAAAACTTAAATATCCAAACAAAAACCACAAAAAACTCATATGCAAACAAAAAATAGTCCCTCCGAAAAAAAAACTAAAAACTAAAAAAAAAAATCCATTCCATCCAACAAAAGATTAAGGGAAAAGGAAAAAAATTATATACCTTGATGATAAGGAGCTTGCAAAGCCGCAGAGAAAAATTGGAAATTCGAGCAACAACTCTTGCTGCACCTAAAAATCAAAGCAGATCAGAAAAGTACACCCAAAGCTCGAAAAAATTTAAATCACACACAATTAAAAAAAATAGAAACTCATTAATAAACGTTTGATCGTATCCTTAACTTTTTCTAAAATCAAAAATCAAAATACATCAGACAACCACACATAAACGACGGAAAAAAAATTGAAATCCCATGTGCCAAGAAAACCAAATAACTCACAAAATCAGCCAAAAGATACAAAACAGGGAAAAAAGCTAAATCTGGGTGAGAGAGAGAGAGAGAGAGAGAGAGAGAAAGAGAGAGCCAAAAGATACAAAACAGGGAAAAAAGCTAAATCTGGGTGAGAGAGAGAGAGAGAGAGAGGAAGAGAGAGCAGACAATAGGCTTAAAGATTTGAATCTGTAAAGTGGTTCCACAAAACCTGTAAAGTGGTTCCAGAAAAGCTGAAAAGTGGTTCCACAAAACCTGAAAAGTGGTTCCACAAAACCTGAAAAGTGGTTCCACAAAACCTGCAAGTTTATAGCTAATCGGGTCACATTCTCCTTCCTCTGCAAATAAACAAATCAAAATTCGATGCCGAAAACTATTTAAAATATATATATATATATATTTGTTGTTTTACTTTTCTTTTAAAAAAAATGTATACAATTTTACACATTTTCAAATCTACATATTTTTAAGATCTTGTAATTCTTCAATAAATTTATTAGTTTGGCATTCTCAATCCAAAAAGACTAAAATTGTTATCTTCACAGTATCAAAGATTGTTGGTTGTCCTCGCTATAGTGTTTCCAATCATATAGTCATTTTGGATAATTTACAATTAATTTTACCACAATTAAAGCTAACTTTATTAATTGCAATGTAAATATTATTCAATCACTCACAACACACCATTTCCCTTTTTCACAAAAAGCAGAGACCCATTTTTCATTATTTATTGAGAAAAACTATTTGCAAATGGCCAAAACTTAAATATCCAAACAAAAACCGCAAAAAACTCATATGCAAACAAAAAATAGTCCCTCCGAAAAAAAAACTAAAAACTAAAAAAAAAAAATCCATTCCATCCAACAAAAGATTAAATTTACATATATATATTTGTTGTTTTTTTTCGGCTCTGCATAAAAATAAAAAAAATAAAAAAAAAACGTTTTTGTTATTAAATTTTTTTTGCTCCGAAACCAAACGATGGGTTAGAAAACAAAGCTTACAACTTAAATAGAAAAGAACAACCTACTGCTGCAAGCAACATACCGTCCACTTTGCAGATTTTTGTGGAACCACTTTGCAGGTTTTGTGGAACCACTTTTCAGGTTTTGTGGAACCACTTTTCAGGTTTTGTGGAACCACTTTTCAGATTCAAATCTTTAAGCCTAAACAAATATAAAAGTTTACTGCAAGTTTATAGCTAATCGGGTCACATTCTCCTTCCTCTGCAAATAAACAAATCAAAATTCGATGCCGAAAACTATTTAAAATATATATATATATATATATTTGTTGTTTAACTTTTCTTTTAAAAAAAATGTGTACAATTTTACACATTTTCAAATCTACATATTTTTAAGATCTTGTAATTCTTCAATAAATTTATTAGTTTGGCATTCTCAATCCAAAAGACTAAAATTGTTATCTTCACAGCATCAAAGATTGTTGGTTGTCGTCGCTATAGTGTTTCCAATCATATAGTCATTTTGGATAATTTACAATTGATTTTACCACAATTAAAGCTAACTTTATTAATTGCAATGTAAATATTATTCAATCACTCACAACACACCATTTCCCTTTTTCACAAAAAGCAGAGACCCATTTTTCATTATTTATTTAGAAAAACTATTTGCAAATGGCCAAAACTTAAATATCCAAACAAAAACCACAAAAAACTCATATGCAAACAAAAAATAGTCCCTCCGAAAAAAAAACTAAAAACTAAAAAAAAAAATCCATTCCATCCAACAAAAGATTAAGGGAAAAGGAAAAAAATTATATACCTTGATGATAAGGAGCTTGCAAAGCCGCAGAGAAAAATTGGAAATTCGAGCAACAACTCTTGCTGCACCTAAAAATCAAAGCAGATCAGAAAAGTACACCCAAAGCTCGAAAAAATTTAAATCACACACAATTAAAAAAAATAGAAACTCATTAATAAACGTTTGATTGTATCCTTAACTTTTTCTAAAATCAAAAATCAAAATACATCAGACAAACCACACATAAACGACGGAAAAAAAATTGAAATCCCATGTGCCAAGAAAACCAAATAACTCACAAAATCAGCCAATTCCACTGAAGAGAAAGGTTAGTAAAGATTGAATTGAAATGTAAAACGTTAATGAAAGAAAGCTAATAAACTCTGAATTTTTTCACATACCATTGATCCTTACCATTGTGGTGTAAGCTTTAGTGTTTAAGGTATAGCTAATAATCCTTGTATATGTACCTCTGTTAATATTAAACGAACTTTTTAACACCTTATTGCACACCTGAACACCAATTATGTAAACTTGATTTATTAAACTGGACGGGTAAAAGAAATAGTTTTCTGTTTTGACTTTAGCTAACATAAGTATGTTATTTCATTATTAAATAAGATTGATATGTATCATGAGGATTAAAAAATCATGCCATCAAATAAATTTGAGGAAAAAAAAAGAGAAAAAACTAAATTAACCAAATCAACATGTAGCATCTGCATACCTTCGCTTTCTTCAAACTCTTTTCCTTAAATTCATTTTAATTTTCATCAAATTCACGAACCTATGCAAGCCAAACAGTGTTGTTGGTGCTTTCTGAGTGTGAGAGAGAGAGGGTAATGTTTCCTGCAACCAAAAAACGAAATCAAACGAAAGAACCAGATGTAAAACACGAAGAAATAGAAAAAAACGCTGAGCAAAATAGGTGAAGAGCCGAACTTTACAACAATCATATAAAAAAATTTCTTCCTAACCAAACAGAAAATAAAGCAACGCATGAACAAACACACCTGCAACAGAGCGATTCGTTCGTGGAAAACAGCGAGAAAAACATGCCAAACACCCTCCCACACAATCCGATTGGAATCAAAATCGAAAGACAAACGGAGAAATAGAGAGAAACGGAAAGACAGAGAGAAGAAAAGAAAGAGGAAACTGAAAAATGAAAGATGCTGGACCAATTTAATAAGGGGTGAAAAGAAAAATCGAAAATTTAATCCATTTTTATATAAATGATAAAAACAATTAGGGATCTGGGAGATTGAACGGAATGATGATCGGAGGGAGGAAATTAGGGTTAGAGAAGAGAGCGAAAGAGCGAGCAGAGAGAGGAGACTTACAGTTCGGGATCGAGACGAAGAGGACGAATCTGTAAGGATGAGATTGTGGTGTGAGGATCGCAACGCAGCAAGAGAGGGAAGGGGGGGAGAGAGAGAGAGAGAAACAGACAACTGGAGATCGAAATCGAAATCAAAAAAGGAAGGCTCGAGAACTTCTGGAACCATGAAAACGCGTCGACATCTCATAAAAGTAGAGGACGCGTGGAGAAATCGACAGATTTCTATCGCACAGCAGGGACAAAAACGCCATTTTACTGTATAATAAACACAAAAAACAAAACTTAAAGAACAATTAAAGGGCAAAAACGGAAGAACACTGGCGAAGTAACAGTAAAAAGGACACAGAAGGAATTAACAGGAAGTTAGGCGTTTAGTATATATATAATTTGCTAGCACGTCCCTAATAAAATAGTAAGCTGCCCATCTGTCAACATGACGATATTAATTAAACACCCACCCTCCCTCCCAACTCCATTTTCCCCTCACTCTCTCCTCCCTTCCCAAAAACTTTCTCACCAGCCAAACACTTGTTATTCTCATTTTCCGGGAAAAAACACCTCCCATCTTATGTTCCAGTCCCATCCCAATAACATATATAACCAACAAATTAAAGTGATCAGTTAATTCATGGAGGACTCACCCTCCTCAGCCTCAGAGGACGACACAAAGGTGGCCACTCCCCTGCCCAAGAAAAGGTCTCTTTTTCTCCTTTTTTTTTCCTTCTTTTTGGTGTTGATTTTTTATTTATAATTTTGGAAATTAAATGGATTGACCGTTATGGGGTTGGCTGGGTTTGTTTCTAATTTAGGAGGGGAGTGCAGAAGAGGGTGGTGTCAGTGCCGATCGGTGACGTGGAGGGATCCAAGAGCAAAGGGGAGGGGCATCCACCGTCGGATTCTTGGGCCTGGAGAAAGTACGGCCAAAAGCCCATCAAAGGCTCTCCATATCCCAGGTATTAATTCAATTCTTCTATTTATATTTTTTTCTGCAGATATCAAATTAAAAAAATTATTATCCAAATTAAACAGTTAATTTCACAATAAAAATTATTGAAGGAAACAAAGAAAAATAAAATAATTAATGTTTTTTAAGATGAAAATAATTAAGTGACATTGCATTTGAGTTTGATAAGTTTGGTGCAATTTTCTTGTATTTGTCGCCGGCGATGTATTCTTTGGTGTCTTCATCTGTCACACTGCGGCGTATTTTAGTGTAGAGGCGGCTCTACTAAAATGCGCCTGCTGTTGTAGCACGCTCTTACCACATGCATGTCGTGAAACTCACGCACTAAATTCCAGCTCGAAAATGACATATTCTCTACCTCTTTTTAAAATAAATTAAATAATAATTGCTCTAAATAAATTTCAATCATTTTCATTTTTTATAGTTGCTTACGTAAATTTGGGAGCTCCTTTTATGAATTAAGAGAACGAAAATGATTTTCACTCTTTTTTTCCTTTGACGCTGTCTATTTTTATCCATTGGCCGTGTTTTAATTTATTCAATCTAAGGACATGTAAGTAGAGAAAATTGTGTATGAAAATCAACGTTTTAAAAGATGTTAGACGTTAGTCGGGCAACTGATTGGAGCCTAGCATGTAGGCGGCTAGGCAAGGTTTATGCGAATTAGACGGATTTAAGTAAATTTATAATATATTACATATAAAAAAAAATGCCCATTTATACTTTAAAAAGTACATAATTGTATTGGAACATATAAATTGACAAAGAAAATGATATATAGATCATTAAGTATTAGATAATGTTGAAAATATAGGGAACAAGCATATAATAAGTGTTCGTTCAAATATTCAACAAGTCTCTTACATTTATTGATAAAATAAAATGCAAAATGAAAGTTATCGATTTTCTGTCTAAATGAGAGTCGGAATCTAGGCAAGTTTAGGCGGGGCTTGGAGGTCTAGACGGCGCTAGACGAGAATTTTTATAACAGTGATGAAAATTGCTTCCCTGGAAGAATGATGCTATATGAATGAGTTGTACAATTATATGAACAGATAACTTTCACATACGTTCGAAGCAAAAGTAAATAAATTTCACATGGGTTGTACAATGTCGTAGATCTCAAGTATATGCATTGAGAGGGAAAAAGGGAGTTTAAGAAAGCTCAATTGGTTTCTAAAAATTTACTAAATCTAGTATATTCTGGTGCTATATGTAGTAAGTAGAATGCATCTTCCCTATAGCTTCTGCATATGATTCTTTGATTTGGATTTTGGATAAAAAAAATTGCTATTAACACACCAATTTTTACCTCCCACACACCCTTGTTAAACTTTGGCGATTGTTATTCTTCAATTCATTCGGTCCGACGGCTGAAAATTGAAAGAAATGTGTGAGAACTAAAAAAGAGTGTATGGATAACACTACCCTTTTGAATATAGATCTCGTGTAAGGTTTACGAGAAATGTACTGGATTTCGAATTTTGACCTAAGTACAAGATCATCATTAAAACCGGAATATGCTAAACAAAATTAAAAAGTAAATCTTTTTGAAATGCCATATAAACTTAGTAGTTAGCACAAAATATGCTTGCAAATCAACTACAAATTAACATCTTTTATATGGATGGCTTTTGTTTTAATTGCTTGTTGTTTACCACTAATTTAATTGAATCCACACTGGGCTGGTATCTTTTGAAATTTGTAGGGGATATTATCGATGTAGTAGTTCCAAGGGATGCCCTGCAAGAAAACAAGTGGAGAGAAGCCGTCTGAACCCCACAATGCTCATAGTCACCTATGTTTGTGACCACAACCACCCCATGCCCACCACCAAAGCCAACCAATCCTCCTCTGTAACCGCTACCACCACCACCACTACTGCTACATCACCCACCACTGAATCTGAACTTCCGGCCAAAACCGAGGAGCTCACAGTCTTCACAAGCCAAGTCGACCTTGATCTCAGCGACGACTCGCCCACATTACTTAGCGACTTTGGTTGGTTTAATGATTCGTCATCAACAGTTGTACTAGAAAGTCCAATTTGCTTAGGAAATAGTAGTTGCATGAATAATGATGTGGCGACGAGGTTGAAAGACGAGGACGAGTATTTGTTCGCTGATCTCGGCGAGTTACCGGAGGGTTCAGTGATTTTCCGGCATAGGAATAGGATGGTGGAATCAGACGACCAAAATGCGAGATGTAGTTTATGTGCGGTGGTTTCCTATTGTAGTAATACAGGATAAGACTGTAAACAACCTTCATCAGTCAAATCTTTTTTATTTTTTATTTTTAAAGAGGACTAACTAGTAGTTTCGTTACGGCAGTGAAATCCTTTTGGAGTAATGTTAAAGCCAGGAACCACATTTTCTAACCATAGTTGGCCATATGATATGGTTATTACATCCATTATGATGACTGACGCTAGTTACACATATTAACAGTGGCTTAAAAATGTGATCTCTTTGGATTACTCGAGGTCGAGGTTCATATAACTTTTTCTAATACTAATTAGCCAAAAACAATTAAGGGGCGGTGATTTTCACACACCTTATTTACTTCTCTTTTTTAATAATTGTTTAATAAATTTTTAGTGTGTGTGAAGGTACAAGGATAAATTAGATTTTCATTCCTCATTTTCATTTCTCATTAATTTTTCTTTTTTTGTCAAACAATAGATTTTGTTAAATTATATGTTAGTTTAGCCATCAATTGGGTTTGAACCCATGTTGTCATGTAAGAGCTCAACTCTATTCCATCACTATGGTAAAGGACCTGCTCATTTCTCATTAATTGAGATCTAATTTCTGTTTTGTTTTTATCAAACTCCTTCGACTTTTGTCCATGTCATTATTTGAATAATAAATAATTTATATGTATTCATATGTTGTTAATCATTTCTAATTATATATTTTTAGTATTTTGTTTTATTTTTTTTATTTTTAATTTGTACCCACTCTATAAGTTTGTACCAATACTCTTTTTAATTATAATTTGTACACATACTTGCGCAAATTTGAATACGTACCCATATTTTTCAATTTAATATGTACTCATATTTTGTTTTTGGTGTACTCATGCTAATTACATGTATTCTTTTTTATTTGTAAGTGAGATGTCTTAAGTTCGATTTTCACCAAAAGTAAAGTTGAACCACATTCTTGTGGCAAGCTCATTATAAAATTTAGTCCACTCCACTACTCTCACAGTATAACACATGTGATAAAATGGTTTGGGGTCTATCTCATAATGATGACTTTTCTGTTAAGAGTGCACGTGGATTCAAAACAATAATGTACATAATCAAGTCAGGCAAAAGGTCCTAAATAAGATGTGGAAGTTATCTATTCCTCCTAAAGTCAAGATGTTTGACTGACTACTTATTCATGGTCGGTATGGTACTAGTTTAGTACTAAGGTGTTTTTTTAAAAAATTGGTATAAAAAAAGTTGAATTAAAAAATGTGTTTGGTAAACCTTTAAAAACAACTTATTTTCACAGTTTTAGGTGAAAAAAAAGTTGAAAATATGAAGCAGCAAAAATGAGCTTATTCTCACAGCACAACAGAAGCAGTTTTTTTTTCAAAGCATATCAATACCAAACCAACCCTTAATACTAGGAAGCGGATGAACAAATTCGTTAAGGATATCCCTATTGATTTTCCTATATGCAAATCCGCTGCTGAGGATCAAACTCATCTATTTCTTTCGTGTATAACCATGCGCGTTTAGTTTGGAATCTTTTCCCAAGTCTTAACAAAAATATTAGTTCGAATGCGGGAGTAGGTTTCAACGAGTGGTTAGACAACCTATCCTCCTCAGACAGGAATGAGTTAAGTGATTTAAGTAAAGTCCTTGCCATCTGTTGGCAAATATGGAATGATCGCAACAAAGTAATTTTTCGTCAGGAGACTCCTAGTCCTACAAGGACACATATCATTGCTTTGAGCGTTGGTCAAGAGTTTTTCAAAGCTAACTTTATGGTGTTTTCTACTTGGAACCCTGATAATTTCCCGATTATTAAGTGGCATCCTCCGAACAAAGGCTTTGTAAAGCTTAACTTCGATGGTTCTATTAGCAATGCCAAGGCTGGAGCTAGTTTTGTGGTTCGAAATGAAGATGGCCTTGTTATTGGAGTAGGGGCCTTCAATTTGAATGGTGCAATAATCAAAGAAGCATAATCAATGAAGCAGAGGCTAGAGCTTTAAAGGAGGGTCTCAAATATATCAAGAGGAAAGGCTTCAACAAGGTTCTTATTGAAGGAGCTTCCAAGTTCATCATTGGGGCACTTCAAGGGACGGTCAAACCTCTATGGAATATTCACACTTGCCTAAATGGTCCGCTTCGGCTTGTTTGTTAGTGATTCGGAAGCATACCTTCAAGAAGCAAATTTTCTAGCGGATGCCTTTACTAAAGAGGGGCTTATTAGTAGCAATAGTCATTATTGGGAATATTGTATTCCTAATTTTGCTCGTTTTGCCTTCTTATTCGACTCTTTAGGCAGTGGTTGTAAGCATGGTTTCTTGTTTTAAAGCATATTTTTCCTATAAAAAAAAAAAAAAAAACTAATTTCTTAAAATATATTAATAATCACATTAGTACGATTTTTTTTTTTTTTTTGCTAGAACTATGTGAACAATATTACTTTATAATTAATTTTTATGTAATTACTATAAAATTTTTATTGGAATTTGTTTAAATTTCATCCTTATGAGATATTGAATGCATAAATGCAGGAGTTAAATCCCTTAAATGATTCTAGTGACCTCATTCAAACTATTTAAACAAACAAGGTTTTATTCTAAGAATTAAGTTGACTAAGGATTGGATTCAACATGGTGTGTAAATTTTAAAAATCACCACCTTTTTTTTTTTAAATCTACACTAAGGGAGTGGGAAGTGGGCTAAATCTCACAATGGGCTAGCAATAATGTGGTTCAAATTCATCTTTGGTTGGCGAGAATTGAACCTAAAACCTCATACTTATAAGTGAAGAAAAATATCATTAAATCGTAGTACTAAGTGGCAATATTACTCTTGAATTCTTGTTTCTACACAAGCGGCATTGGATAAGAAGGGAATTACATACAACAATTAAGGTCCAAAATAAATGTTATTAGCCACTTGATTGAGATAAAAGACATTTTTATTTTATTTTATTTTATTTATGTATTGTTTTGTTTTGTTATCATTCAAGTCTAAAATGACAAACACAAGGACTTCCCTAAACAAGAAGAAAAATTGGAACATCATTTTCCGCATGTGATTTTTATTGTTATCAATACTTGTCCTTCCACATTTGTGTACTAGATTTTTATATGATTGCCGACCGGATCCTAAGGATAACACTCTTATAATCTAAATAATATCATCCATGAGATCATGCATCATACGCGCATACGCAACTGACTCTGGGATAACACTGAACCCCATGAATTCATAGTTTTGCTCGAAAGGTCTTCTAGCACAGGTCTTTGGGGCCCAGTCTGGTTCATTACGGGGTTTTTTTTTTCTTCGTTTTTCGCTCTTTTCCTCCTGAGAGAACCAAGTTTCATGATTTTTGCAAGTACACGAATGGGTGAGAATTAGCTAAATTACTATAACAAGCTGCCAAATATGATCCGGAGGCCACAAGTTCTGGTATACAAAGAAACGAAGCCACCTAACGTTCAATATACAGACCCTGACCTGGCCTATTAGGCACATCTAGCCAACAATGTATCTGAAAATAACTAGTTTCTTAGTCTAACGACAGATTACCGGTGATCATATACAACGTGCAAGATGAAAGGAAAACCCGAAAAAGAAAAAAAATGTGAAAAGCACCAGCGGGAAAATTACCAATTCTAGTTTGAGCAGCATCCAATTCTCTTTAAAACAGAACCATTATCTTTGACATTTATGGTCTGTCCTTCAGATGGAACAGCAGAAGCGCTTCCATTGTTGCCTGCCTCGACTGCCTTCTTGCTTACCACCCGGTATATTTGAGTCAAGACTTCGGTAAATGCACCATCTACGTTGGTTGCTTCCAACGCAGAAGTTTCCATGAAGTAGAGGGACTCTCTTTCGGCAAAAGATTTACCATCCTCTGTTGAGACAGCCACCAGATGGCGAAGATCTGATTTGTTGCCAATGAGCATCACTACGATGTTGGGGTCTGTATGGTCCCTCAGTTCCTTCAACCACCTTGCTACATTGTCAAATGAGGCATGCCGAGTGACATCATACACTAGCAAAGCACCAACGGCCCCTCGGTAGTATGCGCTTGTAATGGCACGGTACCTATAACAATGAGGAATTTAGTGGAAACTTTTTAAACTAAACAGCAATTTTACAACTTCAAATGTAGCTAAGGGACCATTTGACCCTGCAATGGATGTAATTTCCGCTTGAACATGACGCCCAATGTGTGGGAGATTCAGACCAAGGCAATATATATGCAATTACCACTTTTACCCAAAAATAACTCCAAATATTACAGCTCTTTTTTTGGTCAAGAACTATTTACAGCTATGCAAGCAGAATGAGAATTGGGATGAAAAATCAGGTTTTTTTTAGATACCATACCAAAACAAGATCCTGAAATGGTGAAAATAAAATGCCCTGATGACAGTTAGCTTCCTGAAAAGGGAAACAACAATGCACATAGTATTAGAGACCTCTATGGTCTAGCAACCGCTACAGTAACTCGCAGTAATCAGTGTAGCATATACCAAACGACGGAATATACAAAACACCAATCCTGAGAAGTATCAATATTTAGATTAGCCAGCTGATTTATCTTTCCCTCACTGGACCTTGTGAGCCATAATGTGTATCCATATGACATGAACCTAATCGGTAACCTTCCAATTTTCAGCAAAACTTTATGAAAGTCAAAAGCAGTTGAGAACGATACTTGGGCAAACACTCCTTGTACCACGACAATCAACTCATAGGTCAGAAGTCTGGTCACAACTAAAGCTAGAAACGCAGTGAGCTCAAAACCAATTAGTTTTCGCAAAGCAAACATGTCATAAGCCAAAGATCGTTTCCATGAAATTAGGCAAAAATAATTATCTATCAAAGCACTGCAGAGTTGCATTACAATTCAACAAAAAACTCAAAACTGAAAATTTTCAAATTCCTTTTATCTTCCTCTGAGGATTGGTTTGTAGGCAATATTCTATCCAAATATAGTTCAGGCATGCCTCTTCTGTGGTGAGGTGATGGAAGATGTTGACCATTTTTCAAATAGTATCATTTTGTGAGAGGTCTCGGGATGTGTTGAAATGGCCTGCCCAAACACCCT